GCGCTCGCGTCTAAGAGGTGCATGGCCTTGCCCGCCTCGGCGACCGCGCCCACGATGCCGTCGCCGACGCGGATGCTCATGGACGGCTGGTTGCGGAAGACGCGCGAGAAGAGCGAGTTGGAGGGTACGTCGAGCGCGTAGACGCGGCAGTGGTCGATCGCCATCATGCGGTGGAGGAGCCCCACGGCGCGCTGCAGCACCGCGTCCGACGACAAGAGATCAGCGCTACTGGTCGTCGTCGTCATGGTCGACGGAAACGACGTGCGGCGCGCAACGGTCTCGAACGAAATGTTGAGCGACGTGACGATTTGGGCCACAAAGCGGCTGTAGACCGTCAAGTCGTTGGGCTCGTCGGTCGCGCGCTGGAGCGAGTCGACCCAGTCCTGGATCGTCTGGATGCCTTTGCGATAGTTGAAGATCTCGGCGACCGCGACGACACGCGATCCGTTTTGCAGCGGCATGCACAAGTACGACTAGATGATAGTGCTACAGATGAGCAGCATATCGTCGAGAGAGGTAAAGGAAGCGCACCCGCACGTCGAGCCCGTCGAGCCCGTCCTTTTCGTCGATAAAGAGGTCCGAGGTGACGGCCGTATGGACGTGCATCGGGGTCCCTTGCTCGAACGCGCGGTGGAGGAGGCCGTTTTGAATGCGCGTGGACGGATACACGCTCTGTCCGTCAAATTCGAGGACTCCACGCGTCGTGGCAATGTACATGTAGCAGTTTTCGGCGTCCATGAACGACACAAATTGCTCCTACGCGACGACGAATGTGAGCTCGCATCGATAGACGACGTTCTGTGGACTCGAATCTTGAGGAGGACGTCGATGAAGTCGTCTTGGCTCGTAAAAAGCGAGTCCATAAGCGACTGCTGCGCCTTGCGGAACTTGCGGTGGTTGTTCTCGCCGACGGTCTTGCGCAGCCTACGACGTGTGAGGCCAACGCGGGACCGAACGGATGGGCGCACCAGCGCGACAGCAAGACGTGTCCCTGGATCATTTTCCAGCGACGGCGGGCGACGAGCCGCGCGTCGTTCGTGTTCTTCGTCTTCTTGAGCACGGAGGGGTTGAGGTCCGTCGTCGGAGAGCGCTTCCGCGCCGAGTTGGGCATCTGGAAGACCTTGGCGCTCATGCAGCAGCCGTGACCCCGCCTTTTGTACGACTTTATAAACGGCGAGCTAACAATACGCGCGGTTTCGCTGAAACCCCCGCAGCGTGGCCATCCGATCACGAAGCGTCTTTTCACGCGTCGTTGTTGAAGGCGATAGCGTCGCAAACAAGCGAGAGGACGCATAGCTGCAGTGTGGGCGATGGACCGCAGACGATCTTTCTTTTGGAAAGACGTACCAGGAGGAAATTGGCAGCGGTGGTTCGTTGACGTTTGGCGCCAATTGCCGGCCGAGATTTTTGACATGGTGCACAGGAAGCAGAAGCGCACAAGGTTGCCGCCACAGCTTGTGTAGCTTGTGCTGCAAATTAAAACCATGCGTTCGCTCCGACATTGCTTGTGAGACCGCCGCAACTGTGCTCGCCGACGTGATACCGAGTGCTATTCGGTCGTGCACAAGGCCTGTCGCGAACCCCGCGCACGCGCCTGTGCACAGACGACAACCGGCCATAGATTCCGTTCCCAGACTAGACTGTTATCGATAGCTCGAGCTCGAAGAGGGTTCATTGTCGCTCGCTATCGAATGAGCCCTGCTCCATCACACGGCAAGAAAAAGAGTAAAAGTTTCCCAAACAACTCCAGATCTAGAAAACATGCCCGTGGGTGAAGGCAAGAGAGACAATGGATTGATGAAAGTTCAAATCTCGACACGGACATACCCTCCACCGGATACATCCTTGAGGCGTCCATGTACACTGCAGAGTCCGCGAGCAGCCTCGCATTGCCTCACTTGGACGGAGGTGCATCATAGAAACTAGGACTTGGCTCGAAACTAGCGATGGATCGCCAGCAGTGGGCGACTCTGCAATGCGGCACATCTCTCACACCCCGCCGAGGAAAGTGCTTCGGATGATATCATCGTGGCGTTTCGTGACGTCTGTTCGCATTCAAGATAACGGCCACGTCGCAAGGTGCGCGTGCGAAAGTAGCAGGCGATGGAGGTGCCATCACCCGCCGACGTCAAGCTGGTGCTGCCGCGAGGTGCGAGGTGCTTTGTACTTGGTTGTACACACTCTTTCTGTCTAGTCTTCTCGGAGACCAAGAGCGTCGAGAAGGGGCTGTCACCAGCCAAGCTCAATGACGCCACCAAGACACCGCGCTCGAGCAATGCTGCAAAAATCGACGACGTACGCTTGAGCTCGGAAAAGTCGAGCGAGGTGAGCCCCGCGCGCCCCGTCGGCCATTTGCCCGAGAACAGCCCACCGCGCCGGTTTTCAGTCACGCGCGGCGACCCGCTACGGGCTGCGATACTCACGCGTAGCGACGACATCAACACAGATCGACCGAGCTCTCCGAGCCCACCCAAGACGACGAATTCGAACGGCCCAGTCGCAAGTTCGAGCCAACTCCAGCGGCTGCCGTCCGTCCCGTTGGCGTCCTCAGTGAGAAGAGTCCTGTCAAGGATCCGAGTCCGAAGCGCAAGCCACCAACACACCTGCAGCACCTTGATCCTTCGGTGCGATGCGGGGGAACCAATGGACTCTGACGCCCCGGGTAGGGGGATACATTGCCCACCAAAGACGGACTTGGCCTCTTGGAACTGGCAGCGAAACGCCAGAGCACGCGCAATCTGATGCGAACCAAGACGGACGACGACGGAGACAGCAACGAGCGTCACACACTCAGCCACTTGAGACCACTCACGTCGGTCCCACCGCTGCAACTGTAGTCGCCATGTCTCCCGACGTAGTAATGACACCGTACGCGTAGCCATGGCCGCATGAGCGCGTCGCCGTCGCGGCACAAGCTGGAGCTCCAGCAGCGCCTCACCGACATTGAGCACTGCCAGCTGCCCGTTCTTCCCTCCTCACGTAAGTGTCGTTTCGACAAGGCGCGTTCGTTGAGCCGCATTCTGTAGCCGAGTCAAGCGCCTTTGACGAGAAGCGGCTCTCGGAGATGAGTCCGAGTGAGTACGCCGAGTCTTGTGCGGCATTGGGTCTGCCCGATCTCCGACGCCACCACGCCAAGCTCTTCAAGCTCGTGCGGCAGTACCAGACACTCTTCTCGGTCGCGAGCTCGATTTCCGTCGAGATTGACTCGGGCGAAGCGCTCTCGCGCATCATTGAAGGCACGTACGAAGTGCTTGAAGTCGATCACGTCGCGCTCTTCCTCATCAACCACAAGAAAGAGACGTTGCACATGTGCGTCTCGCGCTCGTCGCGCAGCACCGAGTACCCGCTGCACAAAGGCACTACTCCTTTGGCATCGGAGCGAACCATAGATCGGCGTTGTAGGGGTCTTGGGTCGCGTGGCCAAGTCTGCAGAGTCCGTCATCATCCAAGACGTCGCAAGCGACCCGCGCTGTGATATGGACACGGACAAGTACCTCGTCGACGGAAGCCTCGCGCGCAATCTGCTCTGCGTGCCGATCCTGGACCCGTCCAAAGTGCCCGTCGCCGTCCTTCGCTGCGCCAACAAGGCGGCAGACTTTACGCCAAGCGACTGCATGAGCCTCGAGCTCATCGCGTCCATTGCAGGACATACGCTGCACAAGCTCGAGCTGTACGAAGTCGCGATGCTCGCGGGACGCAAAAGCGTCGGCGATGCTCGAGGTCGTGCGTGCGATCGCTACCGAGTGTACAAGATTGTCGAACAGACACTCGATTCTGATTCTGATTCTGATGGTATTAGGCAATGACCTGAATGGGATGGTCCACAAGATTATCGACGTGGCGAAGACAGCGCTGCACTGCGACAAGGTGTCGCTCTTCCTTTGTCACCGCGAGAAGCGCGAGCTTGTGTGCTGCGTCTCGTACGATCCGGTGCTTCGACGCATGGTCATCCCATACGGCGTCGGCATCGCTGGCTACGTGGCGGGCACGGTACCAACCGCCGCAATGTCGTGGAAGGCTCTAATTGACGTAGGGACAAGTGCTGCGCATTGACAACTGCTACGACGACCCGCGCTTCAACGCCGCGACGGACCGCAAGATGGACTACAAGACGATTTCGGCGCTCTGCGCACCGGTGATTACGCACGACAACGACATGGTCGCCGTCATCCAAGCCATCAACAAGCTCACGGTGCCGTCCACCGAGCACCCGCCGGCCTTGGACACGATTGTTCCGTTCCAAGACGCCGACGTGCAGATGCTAACGGCGTTCTGCGACGGTACCACTGCGACATGGTCCAATGCAAACTTGACGTGGCACGTAGAAATTGCATCGTCGCTGCGGCGGTCGGCGCTGGAGACTGCGTACCACCAAGTGCTCCAAGGCGTCAATCACATGAAGCGGCGCGACTCGCTCACACTCGTAGTCTCGTCCCTTCTCTCGTCGTACTCGCAGCCGGCGGCGCCTGCGCGCTCTTCCAAGCGCTACTGGTTCATTTACGCGTTTCGCGCCGTGGGCAAGTTCATGCGGCGCCTCAAGCGACACCGCGGCGTGCTGACGTGGATCGGAAACGACCAAGCACCCGCGCTTCTGATGAAGTGCACGCTGCGCGCTCATTGGGACAGCGCTCAAGTCGGATTTGACGATTTTTCGTTCAACATCTTTACGTGCCCATACGACCAGCTGCGCCACCTCTGCGTACGAGCTTTCTCAACTGCTCTTCTGTATACAAGATGGTGGGCTAGGTCGAAGCCTTTCGAGTCATCGGTGTGTTTGAGACCTTCTCCGTGCCGCCGGACGTTGGCCTCGCATTCGTAACGCGCGTCCAAGACGGGTACCTCGACAACCCGTACCACTCGTGGTGGCATGGCGTCGACGTCTTCCAGCGCTGCTTTGCGCTACTGAGTCGCTCGTCGCTTCTGTCACTTTTGCAGGTCTTTTTCTATTTTTGATGTCTATGTCTGACAGACACGCTAGCCGATGCACGTGTTTGCTCTCTTGCTCTCGGCGCTCACACACGATGTGGGCCACCCGGGCACGGACAATGGCTTCGAGTCCGCGACCTTGTCGCCGCTCGCCGTGCGCTACAATGACACATCGGTGCTCGAGCAGCACCACGCCGCCGAGACCTTTCGCATCCTCGGTGACCCCGATTGCAACATTACAGTCGGCTTGTGCCGCATCGCGTTCCAGTCGCTGCGCAAATTTGTCATTGACGCGATCCTGCAGACCGACATGAAGGCCCACTTTGACCTTGTCCACGCGCTCGAAGACGCGGTGTGCATTTGTTCCCTTGGACTATCGCAATGGAATATCCTCTCGTTGTGTAGCACAACCGCGAGCTCAAGCAAATGCCGGCCTTCGATATCGGCGACGTGCTGCACGTCAAGCACCTTCTCGGAAGCGTCTTGCATGCGGCCGACATTGGCGCGCAGATGTACCCGGTCGACGTCGCGTGGGAGTGGTACGTAGCACTAGAGTCATGCCATGGTTGCAACGGATGCGATTTGATTGTCGTAGGTCGCGCCGGCTCGTCGAGGAGTTTGCATCGTTGGCAGCGAAAGAACGCAGCGCGGGGATCCCCGTCGCCGTTTTCCGTGCATGCTTGGAGACGGACAAGGACATTGCAACGCTGCAGCTCAATTTTATCAACTACATCGTCACGCCGCTCTGGACTCTGCTCATGGAGCTCTTTCCCGCCGCCAAGGTGCTCAAGGCCAACCTCGACTGCAACCGCATGTACTTTCAGCACGATGTCGCCAACACCGACGTCCACCAAGACAAGGGCCACCGCCGATCGCTCTGCGCGACACCAACGCTATCGCTAGTTCCGACCACGCGCTTTGCCAAGCGGAGCGCGACGACCCACTTTACCGAGCAAGCGTGCCACGTCATCACCGAGACGCTAATACAACCGACGACGTCCGACGACAAGCGCAATTAATCTAATCGACACCGTCTCTGGATGTGTATGACTTCGCTGTAAAGGCGACTGCACTGTCTTTTACTAACCTACGGCACAAACACAAAAGTATTCCGCACGCCAGCCATGCTACACCGCACCGAGATGCACGCCTGGACCTGTATCCTGAGCCTCGTACGCGTCATCCGCAAGCCCATCTCTGACGACCAACTGTAGACTGGGTTTTGCCTCGTCTCGAACGCGTGGGTCGACACGAATGCGCGAGACCGCTTGGTGGCGGGGACAGCGCCAGCGCTCGCGACATTCGCTTTGGCCCTCGTCCGCGTCGCCGGGCGCTGCTACAACGGCGTCACACACGTACGTACCGCTTGATGTAGCGCGATGCAGTACGCGCTTGGCTTGCGTAGTTTGTGTTGGTCTACCCCGTCGCGCTCCTTCAGCTGCTTTCGCTGCTGCAGTCGTCGTACCGCTTGGCACTTGTCGGGTGCTGCTGTGATGTGGCTGCCTGGTACGTCAAGCATTGACCTACAGTAATGCACCGGTCGTACGAGCTGACGATTTTGGGCTAGTCGCTTGGACCCAGCTCTTATTGCACCGTCTCAGTGCGGCGCTGCGTGTTCACTGTACTGTCGATGGTCATACAGCGGCTTGTCACTAAGCACGAATTGGGATAGACATGGCGTTCGACTGCAGCACTTTGTCGGTTCGCTCCTCTCGTCCAGCGCGCTTGTACGTACGGCTGCACGCAACACATACTATCCTAATGCGTTTTTAGGCGCTGCTTCAATGGCTCGAAGACACTCGCGACCACGAACCGACGATGTTTATCGTCCAGTATAGTCCGAGCGAGATGCGGGTTCGCGTCACAGATGCAGTGCGCAGCGCCCACAACTGACAAGTGTAGATATTGTCTATAATTGAAAGGTATATCAATGTTCCTAGCCACGCCCTTCCATAGGCTATTTCAACGTGGTTGCATCATGGAATACGTTGTGCGGCAGTATATCGACTGTTCTCCGCGCAACGCATCTTCTGGTATGCGCACGTGCGCCAGCTACGCAAGACACAAAAACGACGACATGTCGCCCCGACCACGTCGGTCGTGTCGACTATATCATTCCATGCGTTTGGAAGCGCCGAGCACATTGCTACAAAGTAGATTCCATTTGTAGACAAAAGGATTTCTAGCAAAGCGTTTAGCTGCTTGATATCACGGTCGTGACGTGGCATGGCTGTGGCGCTGGGATGGAGACCACTTTTTAGGCGAATTTCTAGCAAGGCGTGTGCACAGCATACAAACCACAAGTCAAACCGATCGTGTCCAGTGGGATAGCCAATCACATCGCACGCTTTCCCGAAAGATCGCCAAATTCGTGCGCTGGTTGCGAATGCATTCAATAAACCTGGCATTTGCATACAAAACGCAAGACAAGATTAAAATTCAGAATTACATGATTCTCAATTCTCGA